CAAAAGAGTCTCTGCAAAAGAGTCCAATGTAGATAACCTTCCTATTTTCCTGTTGCCCTGTTTTACTTKGCCATTGGCCGAGAAGATACCAGCACTCCAGGTGCTGGACACCCTCTTACTRGTTTTTCACAAACATATCCTGTATAGTAGTTTGTAGAAATGTGAAAACAAGGCCTCTGGCCTTGAGCTGGGCTTCACAGAGATGTCTACATTTTTAAGATAAGTTACAACTGGGTTCCATGATAACAACTGGCAGGAGAGGAAAGAAAGGGGAGAAGAAGCTCTCCCCTTCTCAGGTGTTGTCCTTGAAGAGTTAACTTGCCCAGAACAGTGAAAGAAAAAGCTGCTTTTATGTGAACTTCTGCAGACTGTGAACTTCTGAGCCCCTCCCCTTACATGCTGGGTATAAAACTCTGAAACTACCTGAACTCGGGGTTCAGGGGATTAATTGATTACAGCAAAAGCTGTGCCCTCTGAACCTGGCTGCAGCCAAATGAAACTGTTTCCTGCTGTCTTCGGTGCCTTGCCTCGTTTGTCCCTACAACACCACAGACCTTTTACCTCTATCTTATTTAATTTTCCCAATGTCAGAGCCTACAGGCCTTAATGTGTCTGATGCTAAAAAATACAATGTTTAAACTGTCACTGCTGAGGCCTCTAATTTGGGTAGTTTCTTGGTTTGTTTATGACAATACATTTAATTAAGACAGAGAGTGTCAAAAGGAAATGAGGAGGAGGGGTCTAGGTTCCAGGAAGTGACTGTTTTGCTGTCATCAAATCAAATGTACTATTAATCTGTCTGGCCTGCGTCTGGCCAAGTCAGCGTGATCAAGTTAGAAAATGGTAGGTATTCATGGGAGCTCTATATTTCACTAAGAAAGAGATGGGAGTGAAGAAGAGTTTTCTCTTTCTCACTATGTTTACTTCATATGTGGGTCTGTGTGTCTCTGAGACATGACACTTCATACGTCTGAGCCAGAACCAACTTTCCATTTAGTCATGGGGCTTCCTGTTATGTCTTCCCTGTCAAATGTGTGGACAGTAGGATCTTTGAGAACCCATATGAACGGCAGGTGGAATAAGAATATGGCATAAATAAATTCTTAGCTATTGTTAGCTGTAGTGTGTGTGTGTGTGTGTGTGTGTGTGTGTGTGTTGCTGGGGGCTCTGTGCATGTTAGGCAAATGCTCTACCACTGAGTTATATCCTCAGTCCCCTAGCTGTTTGTATTTAATGAGACTGAAGCTTAGTTTATTAAACCATATTACACCAGAGAGGGTATGGTATCTACACTAGGTCTCATATCTCCTTCCATCCAAGGGAATTTATTCTCTCTCCTTGCTGAGGGGGGCTGTGGCCTGTTAGGAAGCACATGGTTCTTCTCTTCAGCCGCAGCTAACTGGATCAGGAGGGGGCACTGGATCCAAGCACAGCCAGTCCCCTGGTTGGTTGCAATCTGTGGTTTATGATCTATCGTCTAGAGTGAAAAGATGAGTTGGACCAACGATATTCCCATGTTGGGAACTGGGAGACAGAAACTGAGAGATTAAGGCTGTATTTTCTGGGGACAGAAGTTTACATAAAGGCCTGGGAAATACCAGCAGGGAGAGTCAGAACAGAAGGGACCTTTACAAACCAGAGTTTTGAAAGCATGGAGGAGGTCAGCTAGAGAGAAGGAAGTAAATTCCAGTCCATGTGCAGAGATTCTGGGAGTGAGGGAGAATGGGGCCCATGAGGAAGTTGGTCTACCTGGGTCCATTCATCTTGGACTGTCAAAGTCTACCTGGGTCCATTCATCTTGAATTAGCCTTGAACTGGTCCCAATTAACAGCTCAAGTGGTCTCAAAACAATTAATAGTTCTACAAAGTCAAATCCTCTCTGTGCCATTAATATGAACAAGTTACGTATCAGTGACCAAAACTTTCATCAGTTCTGTAACTGTCATGTCCTAAGGGAGGTATGTCTTTGCTTAAATAACTAAACTTAGACAATGAAGACAACTTTATGAATCTTTATAATGAGCTCTCAGTGGCCCTCTTAATAGGAAATATCAAAATGCATCATGTAAAAAAGCTATTCACTGAGTGGTTTACAGCCTAGTGATAAAAACTAAAATATAGTTAGAGAATCCACGGAAAGGTTTTACATTGAAAATAAAACCATCAAATCCAGTAGTTCATTACTGCATTCTCCCTTAAACTGCCAATTACTTGGAGTAGAGACCTGGTGAAGAATTCTCACTCTGGTGCCAACTAGAGACTAGCCTTAACCCAGGATGTTCCTCTCTGAGTTGTTAACATTGAACTTCCTTGCTTTTTTTTTTTTTTTTTTTTTTAAGATCTCCGAATTTCAGGTGACCTTTTCTTTCATACTGTCTTTAAACACACTGTTGGTTACATGGAATCTCAGCAAGTCCTGCTTTTTTACATTATGCATGTTTATATTCCCTACTAAAGAGGATTCCATATTAAAAAGTATCATTATAAAGAGTTATACATTTGTCTTCGTTCTCTAAGTTATTTATATAGTAGACACGCCTTCCTTAGGATGCYATGGTTATAGAACTGATGAAAGTTTGAGTGATTAATACTTGTTCACAGAGTGTTTGAATTCATACAGCTTGAGTCTTAGACACCATGTTAAGCTCTTTGATGATAAGTCAAAAAATAATTAGACATAAATCTTGACCTTCAAGGAGCTGATGGGCTTAAACTTTGATGCTGAGGGAAGACATTATGAAATACTCTGAGACTTTGGAGAGGGMGAAAGGAAATTAATTTTTCTCTCCCTGCTGGTATTTCCCAGGCCCTTATATTAACTTCTGTCCCCAGAAAATACAGCCTCAATCTCTCAATTTCTATCTCCCAGTTCCCAACATGGGAATATCTTTGGTCCAACTCATCTTTTCACTGTAGACCATAGATCATTCACCACAGATCACAACCAACCAGTGGACTGGCTTTGCTTGGGTCCAGTGGCCCCTCCTGATCCAGTTAGCTGTGGCTGAAGAGAAGAGTCATGTTTTATTGATTGCAGCTATGCAGACGGAGGAATTAGCTTGAAGGAAGGAATCCSAGTGTGTTTGGGGGCAATAGGTGCACATGAGCCATGCTCACAGCAGTGCTGGGATCTGAACCCAGGGAACTGGAGAGACAGTGGTCTAGATTCAGACTGCCATCTTCAGAGTATTGTATAAAGAATTGTGCAGGGGCTAAGTTATACTATTTGTTTCTGTCGGATGTCTTCCCTTTTTTCCTGCCAAAATATATTAGGAAAGAGATGTGAGTCAACATACATGCTGAGGTGATCAGCACAGCCTGCACCTGTTTGGGGCCAGCCCAGAGCTCCTTGAAGCCTCATGCAAACCTTCAGGTCTCAAGTGTTCCAAGACTGTCATTCTGTTTCAGACAGCAGGTTTGTTTTCTCTGGTTAAAAGTACCATCTCTATAAAAATATTCGATTCAACTGGAAAAAAAAAACCCAGCTACTTCTCTTTTCTTGCTTTTAGCTATTTCTTTTCTTTTGGGGGCTCCAAAATGGTGTCGATGGGTATAGAGCTGCATCCTACAAATAGCTGTTGAGTTTGCACTGACTGTGGAACTCCATGCTAGATGCTGGATCCTGGGGTAAACTAGACTCTCACAGTCTCATACCTGAAGGCTCTGTTGTGCTGGGGCCATGGTGGCTGCCACATCGCCTTCTAAAGGCAAATGCAGAGCCAGCATCAGAAGAAAGAGCAACAGCTTTTAACTGAATGTAAGGGAGGGAGGGAACCTTGTTCACTTCAGGGCCAACAGAGCAGCCCCACTGAGGGAGCATCTAGCTCTGTTTTTCTTTGGGAATCTAAGAGACAGCTGCACATAACAGAAGCAAAGCCAAACTGGAATCATGGAACTAGCCATGGTGCCTTTTCTGGAAGGCTTTTGTGGATGTAAAGAGAGTTTTTTTTTTTCCCCTCCTTTCTCTTTGCACAGCAATATAATTTCCTCCCTTGATTTCTGGGCAGAAAGTCAGCATTCCAACAAGATGTGCTTTAATTGATTGCAGCTATTAAATCCCTTGGCTTCCAGGCATATGGTCCAGGGCATAAGAGACACATGGAAATTTTAAATTTAATCATCTTCCTTTCTGTATGTAGGAAACTTGACAAAGGCATTGGGAAAGGGAATGGTGAGGGGGTGGTGCTCGATTTCCACACCACGATAGCCTTTAGGGATTGAGGTAAGAATTTGAAATCTTATTAATATAGTTTTTGGTTCCCATTAAATTTTTGGATCTGTGTTCTGGTTTCTAAATTGGCAGGTGAGGCTTCTAGGGAGTCCAGCTCTCCCAGATTAGAGAAGCCACTTGCTATGCATTCCTGCCTAGCGACCCATCTTTCTCACATTATGCCTTAAATGCCTCCATTGTATTTCATCCCAGGCCACCCTTACATCAGAACTGTATGAGTTAGTGGTAGAATATGAACTTTTTTTTTTCTTTAGATGATGAGGATTTAAGAGCAAGCAAGGCCAGGATATTAGCATATCCTCCTCCAGCATATTTTCATTACTGCCTGGCACATCTTTAGGTAATACTGTTTTAAATTAAAGAAAAATGAAATGCTTCAGCTTTGGGTTGTTCCTAGAACCCATGATTGTTTGAAGAACGTGGCAACTTTGCTCTGATCTACACACATACAGTGGAATTCTGCAGTGAGAAGCGAATCCTAAAATGTTTAACAGGAAAAACTGGAACCTCAGAGCTCTAAATAATTGTACTGATAAAAAAACCATTTATGTATGCATCATACATTTTATCTTTGTAGGAAGAAACCATTCTGCCTTTGGCTGCCAGTTTAGTTCAGTTCCTGGTATCTCTAGTTAGGCAAGGGCCAAAGGCTTCCCTTCCTGCTGCTTCACATGCTGTGGGGCCCAGCTCTGCTTGGCAGGGGACTAGGTGTCTGGCCAGTCCAGTCAGCTCTCTGCCCCACTCTGCCCACCCTGCTCTGGTCACTTACCTCACTCTCTTCAACGGGGGGTGGAGGGACCTCCTTGATAATCTGGAAAACAAACAAAGAAAGAATAGGTCAGTGAAAATCTCCAGCCACCTGCTTTCTAAAAGGTCTGCTCTTAGGAGGCTGCCTTGGAAGCATGACCATATGACCAGGAGAATGGCTCCCAGCATGGCAGACTTACTCAGTGCCATGTTCTACTTGGTCCGAATAGCTCAGTGGGTTAAAGGATAACCCATTCTTAATATTGTAGTTTTGTACAGAGAAATAGGTTCTATAGGTAAGAGTGTCACTTCTTCCCCAGGCAGCTATCTTGCAAATGTATTCACTCATTTATTCATCCAGTCTTTCATGTATTGTATTAAAGCACTCTTCCCTTTATCCAACGGTCCAACAAACAATGACAGAAGTTAAGATGGCACTGCAGAGATGAACCAGATATGTCACTGGCCTCAGTGAATACCCATGAAGAGAGGATGTGCTGGTTAGTCAGAGCATTTCCTGACAGAAGGCAGCAAAGGCAGAATGTCTCCTTTTCACTGACATTTCGGGTCATAAACATTTGAATAACAGTTTTATAAGACAGTACTTTGCAGATGCCCATCATCAGGGCTGAAGAGAGACACATGGATATTTGGGGCAGGCAAGTAATTAGGAACTCCTTCTAATCCATGAGAGGATGGATGACCCAGGGGAGGACAGGGGAGGATGAACGGATGACATGCTTGTCCCAACTTGTTCATTCTACTTATAAAAGGAAAGTCCTTGCAGTTCATTGAATTTAGGATTTCTGACATGGTGGTGGCCTTTATCTACTGTGATCCCTCAGGGGCTCCCTATCCTCACCCAAAGTTTATCATCAGGATTTTGAGGGGTCTCCTACATGCATTGTTTTTCTTTAGAAAGTTCTGGTAAGTTCCAAACTCCATCCTATATCTCTCTTGATGTCTCAGCATCAGGGCTGTCCACTTCATAGATGGGCGTTCAGGCATCATCCACGGGTCTCATTCTTTAGACTTCTAGGAAGAGAGCTTGTCCCTGACTGTAGGTCAGGCTGCCTAGGTGGCATCAACCTCCTCACCTCTCCCTACCAAGCATACATCTCCTCTGATTCCATAATTCTGAGACCTCACTAGGGCTCTGATCTCCATCGCTGTCACTCACCCTACCCTAATCTGCAATGTCATCTCTGTAGGATGAGACCTACCAACTTCATCCTGTCTACGGAGACACCAGCCATCTGAAAGTATGGTATTCAATTAATTGAAGAGGCAGAGATAAAGGCCTCCAGGGGTTTTGAGCTATCATTTCATCTGCCTCCACTTCCTGGCTGCTGTGGGAAGCCATGATTTTGCTCACCCACTCAACTTTGGCTCAGAATTCCTCCAGGAGGTCTCTGGGGAGGACTTGTGACTGCCCCATGCTAATTTCCCATCATCTCAGAAGTAACGAATTATTTTAACACAGGAAATGCCTGGAAACGGGAGGGGTGAGGAGCGGAGGATAGTGGTTTGAGATGAAGAGAGAGCGGAGTGAGAGGGACAGCAGGGTGTTTGGGGACACGAGCAAATGCTAACATGGGCACTATGCACAGTGTGCAAAGCAAGTTTCCTGGCTCTGAAGAGGCTGGGGCAGAGCAGACAGGCTGTTGTCTTCACAGGGCTATAGCTGCTCCTTCTCTCCATGGAAACATAGTGCAACGGTCAAACATGAATCCCACATTGCCTTCTCCTGACTGTCAGGATTTGAGAAATCCCTCAACCTCCCTGAGCTCCACTGTCCTCATCTGCTAAGAAGGGCAAGAACATTAACCTTGCAGCAGTTAAGTCACGATGAGTAGTTACGTGTGTTAAACTCTTGGTACAGAGAGTGCTCCATAGATGGGGCCAATTATTAGTACTCTCTCTTTCTTGTCTGCCCCTTGCCTTTATTACATCTTTAGTAACCCCCTGCATTTACCAGATGGCTAGATATGGTGGGTTCAAGAGAACTGATGGAGGTCCCAAGAGAACAGAGCTTCATAAAATGAGTGAGATGGGAGGCTGGTGTTCAGGTGGCCAGGGATTCAAGGGGAGACAGTCGTCTCGTATATATCAGCACAAGACAATGGTCAGGAAGTGCTGCACCAAGTGGCCCACCACTTAGACCAACCCATCTGTGGGGTTGATGCTTGATTTAATTTATTAACTATTGCTTGAGTATCTTTTGAGTCTCTCTTCTACATCCTACCATGTGCCAGACTCTTAGGGGAACCCAAAAGACAATGCCAAAATACATGGCATTAAATATTAATCAAAGGAGACTAGTCTGATAATTAAGATTYCACATTATAAGCTGGATATTTCAACTTCTGAAAAAATGCCACCATGTTCAGTGGAACAGGAATTAGGCACTTCCAATCTAGTGTCATTGGTTGGGTGTCAACTATGTTCAGCAAGAATGAGGAGAGGTCTTCCCATTGCTTTAAGCCTATGCACCACCAGCCTGCCCCTGGAGACAGGGAGCAGCTTGCCCATAGGATGGTAAGAGGACTTTTCTTGTGATCCAGACAGGCTGAACTTGAAGTCATGAAATGATTTATTTCCAAGCAGTGAAGCTGGATGGGTTCTCCGTGAGTGGCCCAAATTCTTATGCCAAGACCAACACATGGGCCACCCAAAGGAGTGTTCTGAGCATGGGGTCATGTCAGCCCTCTTGGTGCCTCCCATGGACAGCCAGAGCCTGTGTTGCCTGAGAGCTGCTTGGTCAACTGCCTGCCTCACTCCCAAGCCTGCAGCACCACTGCAGCCTGGCTGCCCATGAGGGGCCTTAAAAACACACATCTCAAAGGTCTGAGCTCAGCCTTCACTACTTAAAACCTGACGATGGCTTCCTGTGGGGAAAAGGATAAAAATGCCAACTGGCCCCAACACTTCTCCGTGTCTTTTCTCCTCTTTGCTGTCTGCAATTCCTGCTCCTTCTACATACTGTGCAGCTTCTCAGCTGCAGCATCTTTTGCCTAACCATTCATCTCCCCCTTTATAAAGCTCAGTCAAACCCCTGCATGCTCTGTTCCCAGCTCACTGACCAATCGCTAATAAGTGCATCTCCCCCAGAATCTCTCAGAATGGGCAAAGTCCCCTTTTTGGGCTCTCACACTGTGTGTGTGTGGGTGGGAGGGGTATCATTTAAAATCATAATTAAAGGGTAAATTGTGTGATTCTTTACTTCCAACCAGCATGATCAGAAAGTCTTGATTTCTATCTAGAACACAAGTTAGCATCTGCTGCAGAGCTGGGGCTGGGTTTGACCCATGTCCTCTGTATAAGTTTTGGGAGGTTCTTCTTGTTTGTAGTGGGGTTTTCAGTTTCTGCCTCATTAAGAGAGACAAGGAGAAGATGGATAAAATTGAAGAGATCCGTAATAAAATATTTAAAAAGAAAACACYCCAACAAGCATATTTATAGGCCTCATGTGGGAGAACTGAATGGCAGTGCTGAGGGTGGCCAGCACCCCTTCCCCACTAAGTACCATCTTTAGGTGGTCAGGAAGTGACCATTTGCCTCTGTGGCAGAGCTTCCCTAGTGCCCCTTTTGCACTTATATTTGAGCTGGTGAAATAAAAGGGATAAGAAAAATGAGATGGATGAAACTTCTAGATTCTTTTAGTGTTTCTTTGCCACCTGAGAATTTCTTGAAATTTCTCTAAGTTGGGAGAGGCATCTCCTTGCCTCTCTTATCAATGACTTGAATTCTGAGCTAATCTATCTCTGTTCAGGTGGACATGAAGTGGGTGAGATCTAATAGGTGGACATGAAGTGGCCGAGATCTAACAAAGACTGTTGTACATATTTTTAAAAAGTCAGAAAGGCCAGGTAGACTCTTATGAAATCGAAATCTTACTTCTAATTGATTGAAATCATATTCAAGTTTTAATTTTTATTTTATTATTATTTTTTATGGTGCAAGGGTTTAAGCCCAGGGCCTTGTGCATGCAAGGCAAGCCCTCTACCAGCTGAGTATATCCCCAGCCCCATATTCATATGCACCCCTGAGTGTGGCTGTTGGAAGCAGTAGTGACAAAAGATGTGGAGATTTATTTAGAATGATATGAATAGAGCAGAAAAACCCCATAAACCAGGACCTATCTGATAACTKCAAAGTTTAACTGCTGTGGTTTATTTATCAACTTCAACTGCTGGACCTCTGTAAAGCATCTGGTGAGTTTATTTTGCTTGTTATGCCTTTTTTTTTTTCCCTCTGAAAGTACTAAAGTTTTGTTCCTAATTTCAAGTTCTGTTCCTTGCCTCTCTTTGCTCTTGCTAACCCTACTGCTATGGTCTTGTGCAATGGAATGCAAATGTGGTCCATCCATATTTTAACATGGGTGCTCCTTCCTCAATCATTTAATGTTGAGGGTCAGGCTACGTGAGGAGCAGGAGGACAAACAGGGTCCCTTGTTTTTTCTCTGTCACTTTGTTAAGAAATCCCCCACCATGACTTCACAGTTCTCCTCCTGCTCTTATCATCTGTTTCTTCCCCCGTGACGGGAGTTGGCTATGGGATAATAGGAACAAGCTCCTGGGAGAAGATGATCATCTTGTGGCATTTGATGTGGGTCTAAACAGGAACTCTTTATTGGCTCTTTTCCTCTTAAGCTGAATGTAGCATCTCAGCRTTCCTTTTTTAGGAGCTGCCTTTGGGACATCTCTGTACCTCCTCTACACCAAAGGCCTGGTCTCTTGGTTGCTGCAAAGYAAAACTTCCTTGGCACACAGGCAACTCTGCTATTTAGACCAAATCCAAGAGAACTGCTTGAGATAACTACTTTATGAATAAAATTAAGCTCCTGTCCTCTAATTTTGGCCAGTGATTTCAAACTTTTTGAGAATCAGAATCACCTGGCTGGTTTCTTACAGCATAAATATTCTGGGCAGCACTGCTCTGTGTCTCATTAGCAGGTTTGGGGCCAGACACTTGCWTTTCTAAGACATTCCCAGCTGATGCTGAGCCTGCTGGTCTGTGGACCACATTTGAGAAGTGCAAATTAGCTTATTTCTAACAACGCTA